CAACATAGTGAGACCCTGTTTCAAAAAAAAAAAAAAAAGGAACTGATCATGAGTTAAATCATGAGAATAAAACCCAAAACACAGTATTCCATTCACTGGACAGAAAAAAATAATTGTATATATTGTTTATTGATTTATTCCCATGGAAGATGAGGATTTAGTTCTTTCCTTTTATATCATTGCTCCTCCTATTGCTCCAATCTTCCAGTTATTAAACAATTTTTGATTACATACTCAAAGATTAAAGCGTTAGAGCTACGTAAGTATTCACCGCTAAGTCAGGTATTTTACTGTGATTTATTTTTGTGTTAAGCTTTTTGTCTATCTTGGAATTAACAGTTGTCTCAAAGAATGAAAAAGAACAAACAACAAAAATTACTCAGTTGCCTCATTATTTTATTTGCTTAATTCTTCACTTCCCACTAATTTAGCCACAGAGTTAGCAGTATGATCAGTCATACCGATGATCATGAGTTGAAAGAGACTGTGAGGCTGTTTATAAAGAACAGGACTCAAGGGTCTGGAAGGATAGAACAGGGAACTGCTTTGTTTTTATATAAATTATTTAACTTTTAAGACTATTACATCTGATACTTTGAAAAATAATTTTTAAAATTTGGATAGTAGCCAGGCACACTAGCTCATGCCTATAATTACAGCATTCTGGGAGACCAAGGTGGGAGGATTGCTTGAACTCAGGAGTTCAAGACCAGCCTGGGCAACATATTCTACAAAAATTTTTAAAACTAGCAGGGCATGGTGGTGTACACCTGTAGTCCCAGCTACTCAGTAGACTGAGGCAGGAGGCTCACTTGAACCTGGGAGGTTCAGATTTCAGGGAGTCATGATTGTGCAACTGCACTCCAACCTGGGTGACAGAGTGAGACCCTGTCTTAAATAAATTAATTTAATTAAATTTGGATGGTAACTATTTAACTTAAAAATGGCAATCTTACCTCCGAGTTTACCTAAAGATACATATACACAAAATAAGAATAAAATATCAGTTTCTCTTCTGGTATTCTCCCTAGACGCCACTCCTCACCTCCCTTAAAAAATAACTATGTATATTTTCATGAACTTAAATAACTAACTATATTTTCACAGCTGTTTATCTAGGCTTAATTGTTGACAACACATGAAAATAAAAACTGGTTCTGTTTGTTACAAATAAATTATTAAATGATGCCATGTGAGCAGCTGAAAGACATACCAAGAAAAACTACCACAGCAAGTATAGGTTTATCCAAGTAAAGGTTTTGAAAAATGGTGAAAGGCCATTGTTTGAGAAGTGTATGCCATGATTTTTGGCTCTCCTATGGCCCACTGGCCTATAAATGATTCATTCATTTAATTTATTCATATAACACAGCTTTATAGATTTCCTTTTTACATTTGAGGTACCATGCTAAATTCTAAATTTCCTGAAATCTGTATTATTTTATTTTATTTTTTTTTTGAGATGGAGTTTCACTCTTATTGCCCAGGCTAGAGCGCAATGGCGCAATCTCAGCTCACCACAACCTTCGCCTCCCAGGTTCAAGCGATTCTCCTGCCTCAGCTTCCCAAGTAGCTGGGATTACAGGCATGTGCCACCACACCCAGCTAATTTTGTATTTTTAGTAGGGACGGGGTTTCTCCATGTTGGTCAGGCTGGTCTTGAACTCCCGACCTCAGGTGATCAGCCTCCCAAAGTGTCTTGAGATTACAGGCGTGAGCCACTGCACCCAGCCTTGAAATCTGTACTATTCTTATTTATATTTCATGGCCTAAAATACCATAAAATGCTTAAACCAGCAGCATATATTTTAATCTATTAACATCTCCAATTCTATTTTAGGCAACAAATTCAAATTTAAGAACAAGATTTATTGTTTATGGATTGACAATGAAGATCAAAAGCACACACAACTCCTAAATTCAACATTCTGAAAAAGCTCTCCATTATCTTTTATAATGTTCCTGTTGTCCAAGATTTGGATGTGGGCGGAGGACTACCTAGGTGCGGAGGCAAGAGACTGAAGGCACCAACTGTTTCAGTATAATAAAGAAAACAGTTAGAATAAGAATAGTTAAAATACAAATTAGATATAGAGATGATTATGGACGATTATCAATCATTATTATAAACATTATTGACTATTAGCTTTTAATATTACTCTTTGTTGCATTACTAATATACCCCAGGAATAACCAGCAGGTATAGGGTCAGGTGCTGAAGGGACATTGTGAGAGGTGACCTAGAAGGCAAGAGGTGAGCCTCCTGTCATGACCGCATAAGGGCCGCTTGAGGGCTCCTTGGTCAAGTGGTTAAGGCCAATGTCTGGGAAGGCACTGGTTACTTAGCAGACGGCAAAAGGGAGTGTCCTTTCCTTGGAGAAGTCAGGGACCACTCTGCTCCACCAGCTTTTTGTGGAAGGCTGGATATTATCCAGGCCTGCCCGAAGTCATCTGGAGGCCTAAACCCCTCCCTGTGGCACTGTGCTTCAATGGTCACGCTCCTTGTCCACTTTCATGCTCCTCCCGTACTCCTGGTTCCTCTTTGAAGTTCGTAAGTAGATAGCGGTAGAAGAAATAGTGAAAGTCTTAAAGTCTTTGATCTTTCTTACAAGTGCAGAGAAGAAAACGCTGAGGTATGCTGCCTTCTCGCTAGGCTTCAGCTACCCCTATCTTGTAATCACGTGACTTGCTTCTCTTGTCAATCATTTAGAAGACCCACCCTCCTTACCCTGCCCAGTTGTCTTGTATGCAATAAATATCAGCGAGTCCAGCCCTTCGGGGCCACTACCGGTCTCCGCATGTTGATGGTAGTGGTCCCCCAGGCCCAGCTGTTTTCTCTTTATCTCTTTGTCTTGTGTCTTTATTTATTACAATCTCTCGTCTCCGCACACAGGGAGAATACCCGCTAAGCTCCCTAGGGCTGGACCCCACAGTTAGACATATATCATAGTATCATGTCAATGCGGATCATGAGGTCAGAAGTTCGAGACCAGCCTGGCCAAGCTAGTGAACCCTCATCTCTACTAAAAATACAAAAAAAATTAGCCAGGCATGGTGGTGTGCCCCTGTAGTCCCAACTACTCGGGAAGCTGAGGCAGGAGAATCACTTGAACGTGGGAGGTGGAGGTTGCAATAAGCCAAGATTGCTCCACTGTACTCTAGCCTGGGCGACAAAGCCAGACTCCGTCTCAAGAGAAAAAAAAAAAAAAAGGCACAGTCTTCTGCATTCTCAGGTAAACAAGAATATAAGTATTAAACATGCGTGTATTATATGTAATACATATTAAGTGTGGCCGGGTGCGGTGGCTCACGCCTGTAATCCCAGCACTTTGGGAGGCCGAGGCTGGCGGATCACGAGACCATCCTGGCTAACATGGTGAAACCCCATCTCTACGAAAAATAGAAAAAATTAGCTGGTGGCAGGCGCCTATAGTCCCAGCCACTTGGGAGACTGAGGCAGGAGAATCGCTTGAACCAGGGAGGTGGAGCTGCACTCCAGCCTGGGGGGCAGAGCGAGACTCCGTCTCCAAAAAAAAAAAAAAAACCATCTAAGTAGGCATTAAAAATATAGCAATAAGAAAAAAAAAAAACATTGGCCGGGTGCAGTAGCTCACACCTGTAATCCTAGCACTTTGGGAGGCCGAGATGGGCGGATCACGAGGTCAGGAGATCGAGACCATCCTGGCTAACACGGTGAAACCCTGTCTGTGTTAAAAATACAAAAAATTAGCTGGGCGTGGTGGCAGGCACCTGTAGTCCCAGCTACTCGGGAGGCTGAGGCAGGAGAATGGCATGAACCCGGGAGGCGGAGCCTGCAGTGAGCCGAGATCGCGCCACTGCACTCCAGCCTGGGCCACGGAGCGAGACTCCGTCTCAAAAACAAACAAAAAAAAAAACACACACAAAAACCCAGTAAGCTCCACGAAGATATAAGCTCTGTGATCCACTATGGCATCTCCAGTGCCAGACAGTATCCAGCAACTTACTTGGTACTAAAATGTATTAAACGACTGAATGAAATACTACTTTGCAATTTTGTCTGCCTTCTCTAACCAACAGAGGTATTTATATGTCTGCGAAGGAAGACCTGTCTTGTTAAATTTTGTATCCCCAACAGCCCAGAAAATGTTGAAAGGAAAAAAATGGGGGGAAAAGCCCTTTTCTGGAACAAGTTAGAATAGGACCCACATACATTTTGTTACTAACAAAACGTCCAGCTTGTCTTTTTTCTTTGAAAACTGCATGGCCTTAAGAGGAGTCTATTCTAATGAGGAAAAAAGTCACCTTTTCAGAAGCAGGCACTTCCCACTCCATGCAAAGTGAAGCCAAGTTAGCAAAACCGCAAACACTTGGCTAATTCAAACACAAGCTAATTTATTATTAGTGGCGCAAATTAGCCACTTTCTTTTGCTGCGCAGGTCAATGTCCACAACCATGCTGACTCTGCCTGTAGGGCGAGTGTCTCACCAGTAGCTGGTGAGAAGCACAGCTCTTCTCAGCCAAAACCGAGAGATACTGGAACTTGTGCAGTGCAGTAATCCAAACCCCTCGAGTAGATATGCCCGCTTTAAAATCTGCATCTCGTAAGAAATGCCTTCAATTTTCCATATTAGGAGCTGAGAAAACAGGTCTCCTGAGCCCTTCAGGGACAAGTTCTTTGCCAAATACTACAACCACCTCCAACCACTCCACAACGCCTGAGCCCGAGGGTGGGCCACACACGACCCAGCGCTAAAGGGTTACAACCAAGCTCTCCGCCGCCTGCCTTGCCTTTAAAGAAGCCGCACACAAGCGGGCTGCCCCGGAGTTCAACTTCCGGCCACATAGTGAGAGGATGTTTTCCTACTGGAGCTGAGCCGCGGGGGCGCGCCCCCCGGCCGCGCCCTCCTAGCCACGCCCTCCACGCCCGGCCTTCGGAGCGCGAGCTCGGGCGGGCACACGGAAGGGGCTGGGCCACGTGGGAGGCTGCTGAGTGGTTCGCCTTCGCCCCTCAGCGCGCAGTCAAGCGGAGGCAAGCTCAGAGCGCACGGAGAGCGCGGTAGCGCGCGCGCGCGCGTTCTTAGTGCCCTCCCCGGTGACGTGCCTGGCCGGGGCCGCGCCAGGGCGCTGTTGCTGCCAATACAGCTGTCATGGCGTCCGAGGCGCTGGCTGCGGAGAACTGGCCGCGGTCTCCATAGAGCTGGGGGCGGGCGGCCCGGTATGGAGAGCAGCCCCGAGAGCCTGCAGCCGCTAGAACACGGGGTGGCGGCCGGGCCAGCGTCAGGGACAGGTTCTTCGCAGGAAGGGCTACAAGAGACCAGGCTTGCCGCTGGTGATGGTCCTGGGGTATGGGCGGCGGAGAGCAGCGGCGGGAATGGGCTGGGGGCGGCGGCCGCCAGCAGGAGCCTCCCGGACTCGGCTTCTCCCGCGGGCTCTCCTGAGGTTCCCGGACCTTGCAGCTCCTCCCCGGGTTTGGACTTGAAGGATAGTGGTGTGGAGAGTCCTGCTGCCGCCGAGGCGCCTCTGAGAGGGCAGTACAAGGTGACCGCCTCCCCGGAGACAGCCGTGGCCGGAGTGGGTCATGAGTTGGGTCCCGCCGGAGACGCGGGAGACCGCCCGGATCTCGCCGGCACCTGCCAAGCAGAGCTGACGGCCGCCGGCTCCGAAGAGCCCAGCAGCGCCGGCGGCCTCAGCAGCAGTTGCAGCGACCCGACCCCTCCTGGGGAATCGCCGAGCCTGGACTCTCTGGAGTCGTTCTCTAACCTGCATTCTTTTCCCAGTAGCTGCGAGTTCAATAGTGAGGAGGGAGCGGAGAACAGGGTCCCTGAGGAGGAGGAGGGCGCGGCGGTGTTGCCCGGGGCTGTTCCTCTGTGCAAGGGGGAGGAGGAGGAGGAGGAGACCGCTCAGGTGCTGGCGGCCTCCAAGGAACGCTTCCCGGGACAGTCTGTATATCACATCAAGTGGATCCAGTGGAAGGAAGAGAACACACCCATCATCACCCAGAATGAGAACGGACCCTGCCCCTTGCTGGCCATCCTCAATGTTTTGCTCCTGGCCTGGAAGGTACATTCTGCAGCTTTCTACTTCCTACAGCTTTTGGGGTGGAGGAAAACGGGGTGAGGGAGCTGCTGCATGTCAGGTGATGGCTTCCTTTCTTTCCTCATTCATCAGTCCCCTTCTTACATGAAATTCATTCCAAGACTTCCATGTTGAAAGAATATTCCCTTGTACATATATCGAAAAGAATTGCCCCTAACCTCCGTTTTCTCTTGTAGTGTTGTTTCAGCGTTCAATTGTGGTTGATACACTTAGAAACAAGAAGGACTTAGAGTATCTTTAATCTTATGATTATTTTAAACTATAATTTCCTATGTTTTCTTGCCGACTTTATCACATATGCAAAAAAGTGAAGAATTGGAGAAAGTAATCTTCAGAAGTTACCATCAATCCGTGATATCATGGACTAAGTTTTGATGGTTATGTTTAGTCTGATTTCCAACTAATGCCCCATTCGTGTGTAGATACTTAAGAGAATGGTGATGGGAAAGATGTGGCTCTTTAGACAAATTCCATTTAAGGAAAAGCATTGGTCTGAGACCCAATTACCATAACTTCTTGGTTTTCAAAGATTGTTTTCATTTTATGCATGATTTTTACTTGCCTCATTTCTTTGGCTCTCAAATGGTTTGGCATTATTACCAGTAACCATGCATCCGAATGTGTTAAAGGAGCTAAAACTCTTAAAAACTAAAGTAAGAAAAGATATATCTAAGGTGAAGGAGCAAAAAAAGGAAGGACCCTTAAAAATAGGTATGATGAGGACTCAGAGAGAGTTACCTGTAAAATGAAGTGTCGTATTTAAGCTTGCAGTGTTAGGGTGCTAAGAAGATGCATCTCACAGCACCTATTTTATTTTCAAATTGGTAATTATATTTATAGATGCAATGTTTCCTAGAAAAAAAAATAACCCAAACTGGGTGTGGTGGTGTGCGCCTGTAATCTCAGCTACTCTGTAAGCTCAACTACGCTGGAGGCTGAGACAAGACAATCGCTTGAGCCCAGAAGTTTGAGACTAGCCTGGGCAATATAGTGAGACCCTATATTAAAAGAAAAAGAAAAGAAAAAAATAACCTGGATTCTTCTGAACAGTTAGGAAGAAAATCACGTAAAGGGAATAGTGTTTATCAAACATGCCTTTATTTTCCTGTCACTAGCAAGGGCTGATACAAAAGAAATAAAATTAGAAACCTTGCCACTGTCTGGTGCATAATGGCACTGAGATGTTTTGAGTGAAGACAGTACCTGCCCTTAAAAGGCTGTCAAGCTGTTTGAGGTGGCATCATTGACTTACTTGAAACTGTTTAAGAACAAGAAATAGTAAGTTCTATGAGACAAGTGGTAGGTAAATTGTGGTAAATCTGTGGAAATGCATTTGATATTCAGAAAGGGGAAATTTTCATTTGGTATGGCATAGTCCTAGAAAGCTTCATGGGATTTATGGATCTTGAACCAATCTTTTTTTTTTTCTTTCTTTTTTAAAAAGACACCACCATTAGAGCAATTTAACAGATCTTTTAAGGAAGAGAATTTAGAATAACAGGGAAATGGAATTCCCAGGGGAGAGAAGAGTATAAACCAAAGGAATGAAAATAGAATGGATATTGTGTGTTTATATGTTTATTAAATGACAGAGGTGGTAAGTTAATGTTGGAGAATAATGAAAAATAAGGTTGAAAAGGTAAAAAAGAGCCACTTGATAGAGGCTCTCAACTGGGGGGTTAGACTTGCTCTAATGGGCCAGAGTCCCTAATCTTTTTTGTAGGAAGGAATAGCTATTACTTTCCTGTAGTCCTTTTTCTGATACAGTACTGCAGAAATTCAGAGGAAAGGGCAAGTACTGTGGTCTGGAGTATTTGGGGATAGATGCATATTAAACTGACTCATTCAATTCAGACAGATTCAAGTGAATGATCAAATATTTGGGTTCCCACTATGTGTGAGGTACTAGAAATGCAAAGATGAGGCCAGGCGCAGTGGCTCATACCTGTACTCCTAGCACTTTGGAAGGCCGAGGCGGGTGGATCACGTAAGGTCAGGAGTTCGAGATCACCCTGGCCAACATAGTGAAACCCCATCTCTACTAAAAATACAAAAAAATTAGACGGGCATGGTGGTGGGCACCTGTAATCCCAGCTACTTGGGAAGTCGAGGCAGGAGAATTGCTTGAACTCAGGAGGTGGAGGTTGCAGTGAGCCGAGATCAAGCCACTGCACTCCAGCCTGGGCAACAAGAGCGAAACCCCATCCCCAAAAAAGAAAAAAAAGGAAATGCAAAGATGAGTATGATGCAAACCTGCCTTCACGTAGCTATCTAGTGGGATGACAGACATATAAACAATAATTACAGTGCAATGTGAGAAGCTCTAATATGCTATGGAAGCCCAGAGAAAAGGGTAATTGGGGAGGGGATTATCAAGGGAAGACTTCATAGAAGAGATAACCTGTGAACTAGATCCAAAGGATGAGTGAGAGAAGACCTTCTGGGCAAAGAGAATAGTGTATTAAAAGATACTGAAGCAGAAAAGGATTTCTTCTACTTGGGACCTTCAACCTGGGTTGAATTGTGCAGCATAGGAGGTAAAGGAAATGGTGGTAATAGCAGGAAATAAAATTGACAGGTTTTGTCAGATTATGAATCAGCAAGCATGCTAATGAATTTGGAGATTATTTTGTAAATCTGTGGTTATCAGTGTTTTTTTTTTTTCCTCCAGCCTATTGATGCACACAAAAACCAGTCATAAGTAATCATTGATGATTGATAAAGAGATGGATGAGAGAAGCAAAGTAGAGCAGTATTCTCAAAGTGAGCCGGGTACTAGAAGTCAAAACTATTTTTATAATAATACTAAGAAGTTATTTGCCTTTTTCTTTTTTTATTTTTTTTTTTTTTGAGATGGAGTCTTGCTCTGTCACCCAGGCTGGAGTGCAGTGGCCAGATCTCAGCTCACTGCAAGCTCTGCCTCCCGGGTTCACGCCATTCTCCTGCCTCAGCCTCCCGAGTAGCTGGGACTACAGGCGCCCGCCACCTCGCCTGGCTAGTTTTTTGTATTTTTTTTTTTAGTAGAGACAGGGTTTCACCGTGTTAGCCAGGATGGTCTCGATCTCCTGACCTCGTGATCCACCCGTCTCGGCCTCCCAAAGTGCTGGGATTACAGGCTTGAGCCACCGCACCCGGCCTGTTTGCCTTTTTCACTCTCATTCTCTCACAAGTGTCCATGGAGTTTTTCAGGCTACATGATGTAATGGCATCGCTCTGACAGTTAATGCAGTGTATGCCTCTGTACTTTGTGTTTTAAATTTTTCTCAATTTTAATTTATAATAAGGTGGATATAGATAGATATCCACATAGATGAAAGTTATTGGGGGTCCTCAATCATTTTTAAGACTGTAAAGGGCTTTGGGAACAAAAAGGTTGAGAAATGCTCTAGTAGAGAAAAATAGTAAATGGGGTGTGAAGGTGGTTGTCAGATTTCAGAGGATCCATTGATGTAGCTGTTTAGACTTTATATATAGCTGATATTGGAGCTATTCTAAATTGCTAGATAAAGAAATGACATGAAGAAAGTGGTCTTTTACTTTGATATTAGGCTAGAAGTAAGATTGTAGTGAGTGTAGCAGGAAGAATTGATGCGGATAGCGCTTTGGTTAGAGTTCTTTGCCCCCTCTCTTTGATGAGGATAATGTAGCATTCCCAATGATGATTTCATCACTGACTGGCTATAAGAAGTGAAGACAGTAACACCATTTTTCAAACCTGAGTAACAAAGATTGGTTGGATCTTTCAAAAGATAGGGAAGGTATTAAGCGAATTATTTTAGATGGGGAAGTTGATGCCAAAGTTTGGTTGTGTTTAGTTGGAAATGTCCAGTAGTGGGACATAAAAATATAAATATTCATTATGCTGTTAGAAGCATGGACTGGGTCTCAGGAAAGAGGCTGATTTTTTTTTTTTTTCTAGAGTCTCACTCTGTCTTGCCCAGGCTGGAGTGCAGTGGGAGGATCTCGGCTCACTACAGCCTCTGCCTCCTGGGTTCAAGTGATTCTCCTGTCTCAGTCTCTCCAGTAGCTGGGACTACAAGCGTGCGCCACTACACCGGCTAATTTTGTATTTTTATTAGAGACAGGGTTTCACCATGTTGGCCTGGCTGGTCTTGAACTCCTGACCTCAGGTGATCCACCTGCAAGAGGCTATAAAATTATAGAGAAAAATCAAATTGGAGAATTACTACCTAGAGTAAATATGGTAGTTCTGAGACTACATGAATTCTCCAGAGAGTAGTGAGCAATAGTTCTCAACTTTTTTTGCCATCCCAATATGTGAGAGTGACAAATTGCCAGCAGAAACATCCTCTCCATCCTGCCTCAATTTCCCCACTCCCTCTCCTCCCCTACCTCATTCTCCAGGAGACAGAGAGAAAACAGAGGAATAAAGATCAAATTGGGGGAGGAAGGGAAGAATATTAAGGGTGAGGGAGTGAAAAACCAGCATAGGCACAATTTGAGATGTGGAATGAGAACTAGAAATAGGGCAATGTCATGAGAGTATTCAGAGAAAGATAATGTATTAAAAATTTAGTACATTACTATTGTCAAATGCAGCAGCATCAGAGAGCTGATGGAGTAGGGAAGATTCTGCTGAAGATGACAGGTGTAGGGACAAGGTCACTGAAAAGTCAGGATAACATGGAATCCTCAGTTGTCTTTAGAGGAAAGGAACAACAACTGTATTTTCTGAAGTACTGGGAGGAATGGAACAAGAAAAATACAGAGACAAGGTCACGTTAAGATAGAGAGGTTGGCCGTGTGTGGTGGCTCATGCCTGTAATCCCAGCATTGCGGGAGGCTAAGACAGGAGGATCGCTTGAGCCCGGGAGTTTGAGACCAGCTGGGGCAATGTAGTGAGACCCCCCATGTCTGTAAAAAAATAATAATAAGGAAAAAAAAGAGAGGTAGATGAAAACTGAAGCCTTGTATTTTTCAGTTTGGCAAAATAATCATTGAAC